TCCTCATGAATCTGAGGTTGTAACCCTCCAGCCTGGGCTACCATCTCGGAGAAAGGAAAGGAAGGGAGGGAGGGAGGAAGCATGGAAGGAAGGAAAGAAGGAAGGAAGGAAGGAAGGAAGGAAGGAAGGAAGGAGGGAAAGGACAGGTATGTGGACATTATCTTTAACTTCTGTAAGGCCTACTCTTTACAAGCTTAGAGCACCTATAGATGAGTATGTGTTGTCTGAGCCCTCTTCTAGATTTGAAGAGTGCTCCTAGTGGCAGTGTTCACAATGAAAAGGCCACACCAGAAAGTCTACACAGCAGGGATGACGGCTTCCTCACAGCTGCGTAGCTGGAGTCTTTCTTGGCCTATACTCTAGAGCACATGGAGGGGTCAAGCAGGGTTGCATACAATAGCAGGGGGTGGCTGGATCTTCAGGTGAGGATCTTGTGACACTTCCCACCCCATCACGAGGGGATATAACCTTCAACAGGCCAGCTAGGAGGACAGCTGAACTCCATGACACATTTAGGATCCCTGTCACGTCGTCTGTGACCTGTCCCTCAGTGCTGCTGACAGTTCCCTGAACTTAAAGCTCCTTGGATTATTTCCAGTGCTTACTGCTTTCATCTTCTAAAAACATATTTATTTTATTATTTAGTTATGTGTAGTGTGTGTGTACACGCACTCACACCGTGGCATATGAGTGGTTGGTTTTGTGTGTCAACTTGACACAAGTTGGGGTTATCACAGAGAAAGGAGCCTCCCTTGAGGAAATGCCTCCATGAGATCCAGCTGTAAGGCATTTTCTCAATTAGTGATCAAGGGTGGGAGGACCCATTGTGGGTGGTGCCATCCCTGGGCTGGTGGTCCTGCGTTCTATAAGAAAGCAAGCTGAGCAAGCCAGGGGAAGCAAGCCAGTAAGTAACATCCCTCCATGGCCATCCGCTCCTGCCTCCATCAGCTCCTGCCTCCAAGTTCCTGCCGTGTGAGTTCCTGTCCTGATTTCCTTTGGTGATGAACAGCAATGTGGAAGTGTAAGCTGAGAAAACCCTTTTCTTCTCATGATGTTTTGTGAAGGAACATAAACCCTGACCAAGACAGTGTGAAAGCCAGAGGACAACCTTGGGTGTCAGTCCTTATTCCAGCCACCACACGGATTCCTGGAGTCTAAAGTAGGCCACGAGGCTTGCATAGCAAGCGCTTTTTCATACTGACCTGGCCACTACTGCCTTCGCCTTGGTTGACATGTCCTGAGAGACTTGACTCCCACCAGCCTCTCTTTATCAGGTCTGCTTCCCAAGAAGCCCCGTGCTTTCTTGCTTAGGGACCTTGCTTGGCAGGTGCTGTCCAACAGCTCATGTCCTGACTCTGAGCTTAGTTCCCCAATCCTGTTTGTTGTATTGGGAATGGAACCAGAACCTTGTACACGCTCATGGTCACTGAACTATACTCCTATATGCTATACTCAGTCTATTCCTGCTTAATTAACTTAATTAATTAATTAGAGATAGGGCTTCCCAAACTACTTCAAGCTGGCCTAGGACTCGCTATCCAGCTCAGGCTGGCTTTAGACTGGTGATCCTCCTGGCTCAGTCTCCTGAGTGCTGGGATTAAAGACATATACAGTCATGCATGGCCCAGTTTGTTGTATCTTGTTTTATTTTGTCTCATTTTCTTTAGTTTTTGAGACAAGGTATAAAGGCCAATCTGACCTCATCTTCACTGTGTATCTGAGGATGACCCTGGCCATCTGATCTTGCTGCCTCTGCCTTTCGAATGCTGGCATTATAGGCTGTGCCACCATGCCTGGTTCTGTGGTTCCTGCTGACCCACCTCAGGCTCTCGGGCTGAGGAGGCCATCTACCAACTAAACTGCATCCCAGCACCAGCTTAAATGTCACCTCCTGGGCTGGAATAGAGCTCGGTGTCAGAACGGAGGCTTACAAGCACCAAGTCTTGGGTTTGATCCACATTCCCAGACAAAAGAAGTTAATTCCTCAAGGAGACCTGGTTTGTCCCAGACCAGAGGAAGTTTTGTGTTCTGTTACACACTCTGGCTACGCTGGGATTTTTCTTTGTAGTGTTTTATCGAAATGGTAGCCAGGAGACTCTGAGGTCCTGTTTTAGGACCTTGGCTCTGCACACAGTAGGTGCTGAGGTAAAAGAAACATTCACCTTTTTACGTTCCTTAGTGCTTGCCCTTTGTCCCATCCCTGAGGCTGCTAAGCGCCTGTCAAACCCTCTGACCTTCAGGGAACTCCTGGACTCAGTTGCAAGTAACAGATAACCCAACTCACACCCGCTTACGGGAAACAATGAGAGTATGGGCCCAGCAAGTTTTAGTGTCCAGCTGTGGCTCAGATTTCAAGAATAGCTGGATCCCAGGAGCCCAACTGTGTGGTCAAGATGCATTCTCTAGTTGGGTGTGGTGGTACACACCTGTCAGGAAGTGGAGGCAGGAGGATGTAGTGAAACTCTTGGAATTTTGGTTTCTTTCTTTCTTCCTTTCTTTCTTTCTTTCTTTCTTTCTTTCTTTCTTTTTTTTTGGTTTTTCGAGACAGGGTTTCTCTGTATAGACCTGGTTGTCCTGGAACTCACTCTGTAGACCAGGCTGGCCTTGAACTCAGAAATCCACTTGTCTCTGCATCCCAAGTGCTGGGATTAAAGGCATGGAACACCACTGCCCGGCTGAATTTTGGTTTATTTAAAACACATACACACACTCCTCCATAGCTTCTACTTCAGCTTCTGCTTCCAGGTTCCTGCCCAGTTTCCATTCCTGATCTCCTTAGTGTTACCTGAAAATGTAAGCTAAGATAAGGTGTTTCCTTCCCAAGTTGCTTTTGGTTCCAGTGTTTTATCTCAGCAAAAGAAATCCTAAGACTGACTTTAAACAATTTTGATTTGCAATTCTGAGGATTGGCTAGGCTCAGCTTGGTAGTTCTGGGGTCACATCAGGGTTGCTTATACTGCAGACTGTCGATGCCAAGAGCCCAAGATGACCTCTTGGGGGTAGGGTTAGTAATTCAGTGGTAAAGCCTTTGCTTAGCAAGGCCCCTGGTTCAGTCTTTAATACTACAACAAACAAAACAACACCAACACACCTCGCTCCTTCCTCCGATCGCCAGTTGAGTGGCTTGAAGACAGAGCTTCTCCTACACAACAGTTAAGTGCTCTATTTCTGAGGTGTGTCTCCAGGCCCCCAGGCAGAACTCTACATTGACAGTGATTGGAACTCAAGGTAAACAGGCTCAAGGAAAAGTCAATTAGAAAGTTCTGGGGTGGGCTGGAGAGGTGGCTCAGTGGTTAAGAGCACTCACTGACTGCTCTTCCACAGGTCCTGAGTTCAATTCCCAGCAACCACATGGTGGCTCACAACTGTCTGTTATGGGAATATGATGCCCTCTTCTGGTGTGTCTGAAGACAGCTACAGTGTACCCACATACATGAAATAATAAATCTAAAAAAAAAAAAAAGGTTCTGGAGCTGATAGTTTTGGGCATGGCTATACAGGGTACACATTCAGAAACCTGTTTCTTCTTGGCTGTTTTCCTTTGTGTTGGTTTCTCAGGCCGACTTTCCCTACAAACCGGGAAAGGTAGTTACCAACAATTCCAAATTTATGTTCTGATTGCCTTGGGTGGATGACAGGCCACTCTCCAGAATAGGGTGGGAACACACCCCTGGACCACAGCAGAAATGCACTCCCCCATGTGGTGGCTTAGTACTGGAATTTCAGTACTTGGAAGGCTGAGGATTGCTGTGAGGTTGAAGCCAACATGGGCTCCATAATGAATTCAAGGCCAGCCTGGGCTACACAGTGATACACTATCTCAATGGAAACAAAAAAGCAAAACAAAATAAAGAGTGTGGTGGCATGTGCCCATTACCCCAGCGTCTGGGAGGCAGCTCAGGCTATGAGACCCTATCATAACCTAAAGTAAAATAAGAAAGGATTCCAAGAAAGTCAAACAACAGGTTGCTCTGAGGCAGATGGCTAATTTTACAGCTCTTCAAGAGAAGTGGGTTGTTGGAAGAGTGAGCCAGCCTTGGAACTACAGATGGCAATTTATATTAGAAGCTAGCAGAAGTTCCTTCAAGCTTAAAATCCCATTGACTTGAGCTTGATCTCTGAATCTCAAGGGAGGAGAACTTCTGTAAGTTGTCTTCTGGCCTCTCAGTGTGCCCAGGGGCATGCATGTGCCCAAAGAACCATAATGATGGTAATAAATAAACTAATATTAACAAAGGAAATAGCTGGGAGCACAGGTCGGCTCTTTCCAAGGCGGCTTGGCTGGTTGTGTAAGGTCACCTGACACAGGGTTCCTGTTTTTCTGGTGAAACTGGCTTTTCCCAATTGCCTTGAGGGTTAAATGAAATATCAAACACTGAGACTTAGGAGAAGTCTGCCTCATTCTCTTTGCCATTAAATTAAACACTACTGTCCTGGGGTTGCTATCACCTGCCCAATTAAAGAAAGAAAAAAGAAAAAAGAAATAAAGGAGTGCCTTTCGCCTAGTGGCCACCAGGGGTCACTGCACGGTAAAGTTGGCTCACTTGTAATGGTTGTAATGACTGAAAGCTTCTGCCGGACAGTGACCTGGGCAGTGCTACAGCGGGACTTCTCTGTAGTTCAGGCTTGGCACGGGCAGTCTCTGAGGTAGGCCCTGTTTCATATGGGGGTGAAGTGGGAGCTAATTAACAGTTAATTCCAGCTTTTAGTGCTGAAATAACAGTGCTCTTTATTAAAAGACTAGACCCCTGGATACAACTTTTGGGTTGCCATCAGAACAACTAACTTTGAAGACTGAAAATAAGAAGTCTTAGTTCTGATAAGAAGTGGAACTGGGGCTCTTACGAGCTGAAGGAACACCAGAACCACTTTGGTTACAAAAAAAAAAAAGAAAGAAAGAAAGAAAGAAAGAAAGAAAGAAAGAAAGAAAAAGAAAAAAAAAAGAAGTAAAAAGTGTCTATGCCCATTTCTGCGTGGAGGAGCACACACATCAAATGACACAGTTTTTACAGCAGCTTTATTCAAGATAACCTCAAGGAGAAACAATACAACTGCTCAACAGTACAAAGCTAGGTTGTGACTGATTCAAATAAAGGACTACTAGTTAGTATTAAAAACACTTCTCCTTCTCAGCCAGGCATGGTGGCTCACGCCTTTAATTGCAGCACTTGGGAGGGGAGACAGAGGCAGGTGGATCTCTGAGTTCAAGGCCTACAGAGTGAGTTCCAGAACAGCCAGGGCTGCATACTGAGACCCTGTCCTGAAAAACCAAACCAAACCAGGCAACCAGACACACAATAACACAGATAAAAACAGGTGTGGCGGCACATGCCTACCAACCCACAACTAGGGAGGTAAAGGCAGGAGAATCAGCAGCTCAAGGCTAGCCTCCTAAATGACAAGTCTGAGACCAGCCTGGGCTAAATGAAACAAACTAGAAAACAAACCTCCCAAAGCCACGTAGACCAGCAGTTTCTCTCTCTGCCTTCTACTCCATGCTGTTACTGCTTGCGCCCTGGACACTCCCACCTGCCCCATATGACTCTCCAAATCATGATTTTCAAGTGTGTGAGCTTCCAAAGGGCAACATCAGCTACTTCCAGGGCTTCCACACCCGTAGTGCTAGACACACAGCTGTCAGGGACTCCTGAATCTATTTAAAGAAAGAAGTCTTACAAGACAAGGGCTAGTGGCCAGTCAGCCCACGCATGACCTTATCTTTCAATTCCCTACCTCATAGTCGTTACTAACTCTGACACATCAGGCTGTACAGAATCCTAGGCAGACTGTTGAGGTGGCCTAGAGAGCAGAGACCCTACTCTGGGAGTCAAGAGTTTCAGTCAGGAGCTTGCTAGGGGCAGGTGCCCAGAGCAGTGTGCTGCAAGGACCCGGGGCTGGTGGTGCCTGGCCTGGCCCATCTGCATCCGTTTCCAAGCTGTAATGCTCTTTGCCCTGTTATTTTTGAGTGAAAGGAAAGGCTTTCCCAGGGACCAGACAGCCTAGAACTTCGTGGAAACTACAGTTCTTTAAGTGGAGTGAGAAAGGACACCTGTCTTTAAGCGCTGCCACCCAATCACCCACATATCCAGAGCTTAAGAAACAGCATCCTGGGCAGGGCAGTGGTGGCACACACCTTTAATCCCAGCACTTGGGAGGCAGGGGTGGGCGGATTTCTGAGTTTGAGGCCAGCCTGGTCTACAGAGTGAGTTCCGGGACAGCCAGGGCTACACAGAGAAACCCTGTCTCAAAAAGAAAAAAAAAAAAAAAAAAGACACAGCATCCCGGACATGAGGTTGGTGGACGTCTGCCCCGAAGGAATTACCCTGGAGACAAACAGCCTTACAGACACACCTTCCATACTGGCCTCTGCAGCCCTCCCCTCAGTAGCCAGAGTGACTATCTCAAGAATAAATCAGATAGCTGGGGGGTTGAACTGGATTGGGCTTAGGGCATCAGGGAGACTTTTCCTGGGGTGAGATGGTTACTGAGGGGGCCAACTGTGTGGGGATGCCATAGCAGTATCAACATGGCTGTAAACCAGGGCTGAGGTTACAGCCTGACTCACACAAGAAATTCTTTATTTGGATGGTAGTGTGTTCAAAGAACAAGAGTTTAAGCCCTGCCCCATCCCTACATGGTGCCCAATTGCATTAACAAGGAAGCATTTTTATCTCTAAAAGCTTTAGGGATACTTCCTGGAAGCCCTGCTCCAGTCATATGAAGCCCACTGCACTGGATTCCCAGGACACAGACCCAGGAGGAATCTCTCAGTTGAGGGTCTAGGGACCCTTTGCTTACTGTAGAACCTGCACCAGTTCTACATTCCTTTGCAGTTCCCCTTGAATCTTCTTGAGAATGGCAAGGGAGGGATAGCACCACAGCAAACTGGGCGGGATAGCCCACTACACAAGGGCCTAGAGCTAACACCAAGTGATCTTTGAGTAGGCTGGCAGGAGGCAGTTACCTAGAAGGGCAGAGAATCAAGGAAGGTGGCAGACTTTCTCATAGGACCCTGGTTGGACCACCTCTGGACGAAGCCTCCCTTAGGTGCTTCCAATGATCTCACTGGGCACAGGGGTCTCCTCAAGCTCCTAGCTGCTGTACATGCCTAGCACCACTTGGGAACTGGAGAGACAGGCGGCGGAGACGGCAGTGCTCGGCCAAGACTCTGTGTGCTCCAGGAGACTTCCTGGCTGGCAGATCTATACCACGCAAGCCTGCACACTCGAGGGACAGGGAAGGAGCTCCAAGGTTCTACACCAAGCTCCTGGAGCCCAGAGATAGTGCTCTCTCCCTTCTCTGCAGGACCTTGCTCCCAACTGACCTTGAGAGAAAAGACAGACACTGGGACTGTAGGACATACACCCAGAGGGGCGGGGAAGGCTAACCTCTACACCACCACCTCAGGTCTTCCCAGTGCCCTGTCTCTGCCATGACCACAGGGCCATGCTAAAGAGGAGGGCAGGAGGAGCTGCATCTGGGCACAGTCAGAGGCTATCTGCAGATCTGCAGCCCAAGTTGGCCTCATACCTCCATATTCTTCTGATATAAGAGAGGAGGAGGAGGAGTCATGGGCTAACCACAGTCACCAGGAACTGGCTTGTGGCTATCCCACCAAGACTGACCAGGCAGACAGCTCTAGTCTTCCACTGTGCTTGAATCCTTCGGAGTGGGTTGTGTTTGCACTGGCATCTGGCTCCCTAGTGTCACCAATGTTTTGGGTGACCTGTAATTTGAAAACACAGACACAGGTTAAGCGTGTGGGCATGGTACACTCAGAAGCTTGTTCTAAAGGTGGCATGGCTTTCTTCATATGTTGGGACAACGGCCTGGTGGCCTCCCTTTACTGAGGATCACTGACTACTTGGATATTACCTCGTTTCAACTACAAGTCAATTCTGCATGGTAAGACCATGCTCACTTTACATAGGAAGCCGAACTGCAGAAAGCTTAACCAACTAGCTTAAACTATTTCTTTAGAAATTTAGGATCCGCAAAGGAGGAGGAAAAAGCCATGATTTTTATATTTGTTTCCCTGAATTTGGCTTGTCTTAATATGATTTTGAGTTACATTTACTTTCCATCAAACATAATTTCTTACACACACATGTGTACGTGTGTGCGTGTGTGCGTGTGTGTGTGTGTGTGTGCATGCAGGTGTGTGTGTCTGAGGACGGCCTTAAATTGTCATTCCTTAGGTGCTATACGTCTTTCTGAGACAAGGTCTATCTTGTTGGTCGAGAACTGGCTAAGCAGGCTGCACTGGCTGGCCAGTGAACCCAGGATCTTCAGTTCTGCCTTCCTAGCATGGGATGCTAAGCATAGCCCATCACATTTGACTTTTTGTTTGTGGTTTTCACTCAGATTTGCAAGTGCTCCACCACTGCCCGGTTTCTTTAAATTCAATTTTCTGAGACAGGTTCTCATGAACCACATTCTGGCCCCTAATTAATTCTCTACATAGTCAAGGCTGGCCTTGAACTTCTGGTTCTCCTCTTTTACTTGCCAAGGGCTAGATTATGGCATGTGCCACCTGGTCTACCTTATTTATTTATAATCATTTTGACTATGCAAAGAAGCTTTTCATGTGTTTGTTTTTAGACAGGGTCACATGTGACTCAGTCTGGCCTCAGACCAGTGGGGGAATCCTGCTTCCCTCTTCAGGTTGTTCCAGGCCAGGAAATCCAGGCACTGTTTGAAAGCATAAAGGCAATCACCTCTGCATCTTTCTGCAGCTTTCAGTCAGTGCAAATTCGACAGGAGGGGCTGATGGAGGAGGCCCAGGAGACACCTCAGTGACTGAGAAGGTTCCTGGACTCAGTCCGTCTATGCCAGGAAGTACCTGACTCAGAAACCCTAGACTCCTGCTGGAGACTCGGGAACTTCAAAAGGACTTTACTCACTGGTTTTTGTGTTTGAAGCCACTGACGTGAGCTTGGTACTGTTCTATGGAGTTCAGCACTATTTTACATGTCTTGCAGGGATAGCCCTTTCCAGCTGAAACACACATCAAAATGAAGAGAGTTAATCATCCAATAGGAGGGGACCAGAGGAACACTGCCTTGCACAGAGCATGCACAAGCCCTTCTGAGGACCAATGGTTTGGAACTGAGAGGCCTGGTTGCTCTGGAGACAAGACTGTGTAACAGTGTATCCTGGGGCTGCAACCTTCTTATTCTCCCTCAGTAATCCCAGTTAGATGTCCCAGCAAACAACCAGAGGAGATATTACTGAGTAAATGAAGGAATGGCAGAGAATAAACCCCTGAGGTAGCTTAGTGGGTGAAGAAGTGCATCCAAGCCTGACGAACTGGGTTCAGTGCCTGGGCCCACAAGGTACAAGGTCAGAGCTGACTCCTTTGACTTCTACACGTGCACCATGTGTCCCGTCTCAACAACATGAATAAATATAATAGTAACGACCGCAGAATAAAGATGACCATTGCTTCAATTCTTCCTTTACGAAGTGGACACATAAGGGCACCCCTTTCACCGAGAGATCTCTTGGAAGGTCCACTCTCCTTGGGCTTACAGTAATAGCAATTGAAGGGTACAAGCTGTTAGGAGAATCAATCTGTCTCTACACTGGGGTTCAGACACCCTGGCTCACAAGCAGGGTTCCTTCCAGTGACACTGTGGCCTTTTGCCATATGGCTCTAACAGTGAGTCAGGAGTAGGTCAGACTGGATCCCTGGCTGTTTCATGTAACTTGGCTAAATCTTTTCTCGCCAATGCTTAGCTTTTCACAACCATAAACCTATTATACTTAAAAAAAAAAAGATTTATTTAGTTTATGTATATGAGTACACTGTAGCTGTTTTCAGACACACCAGAAGAGGACATTAGATCCCATTACAGATGGCTGTGAGCCACCATGTGTTGCTGGGAATTGAACTCAGGACCTAGGGAAGAGCAGTCAGTGCTCTTAACCGCTGGCTGAGCCATCTCTCCAGCCCCCCCCCATTATACTTTTTATACTCAGAATACTTAGGATAAAATAGCTATGTCTTGGGATTTAACATTTTAATTCATATGCGTTTGTCTGCTTGTATGTATAGGTGCCCAAGATGCCAGAAGAGTGTCAGGTCCTCTGGAACTGGAGTTAGGGGTGGTTGTAAGCCACCTGGGTGCTGGACTCAGGCCCTCTGTAAGACCAGCAAGTGGTGTTAACTGCTGAGCCATCTCTCTAGGGCTAGTATTTCATTTGTGAAATGAGGTCTCACTACATTACGTAGCTCTGGCTGTCCTTAAAGCCATGGTGATTTTACTGTCTCGGTCTCGAGTGCTAGGGTTATAGGCATGCATCACCAGGCCAGGCCAGAGCAATTGCTATGTGTCAAATGTCTGTCATGTATTTCCTACGATTTCTTTTGAGATAGTCGAAGTGAAAACTTAAGGGTTCTTTGGAGAGTCAGTTGTGTTGGATGGTGTTTTGCTCAGCAGACACATGAAGGCGTGTTTTCCTGAAGTGGACACAGGTGAAAGGCTAAGGCAGACTCATGAAGGAACATTTCCTTGAAGCAGACACAGGAGAAAGATGTTCTGCTGGAGCAAGCATGTGAAAGGACAAGTGATGTCGTTCTTCACTAATGACATGCATGTATTGGTCTGCCTTACATTGCATAGTTGAGCTGTATTTGTCAGGACTCTGTAGTGAGAAATGCACCAAAAAAAAAAAAAAACTTCTGGTGGTGTGCTGCAGTTTCTTGGTGCTTCTGAGGACCCGGGCTGATTGGCAGAGTGATGTCAGCTGAGACAGACTCACATGCTGAAGCAAGACCCAAAAGTGATGTTCGGAGGGTATAAATAGGACTCAATGCACAGCTCTTTATTTTTCCTGAGAGGCACAGCCGAGAACATCTAGTGTTCTTGCTGGTCCCTACTGCTGACTCATGCTGAGGCTGAGGCCTGGCTGTCACTGCTAGGTAGTGCCACGATTGCTGATTCATGCTTGCTATCCTGACTCTACTGAACTGGACTGCTGGTGTATCCATAAGGTATTTTCGAGTGGATCGAGCTGCTGCCGCCTGCTAACCTGTGAACTGAACTGCTGATTTCCAGACAACACAGATGGAAGTTGCTCCAAAAAAAATTTCTAAACAGGTCCACTTCCCCCATATCCTTTCTTTTCCACTACCTCTGGTGAGTGGTGGGCTACAAAGGGAGGTTAAAGCATTTAAGAACTATCAATAAAAATGCAATTTAAAAAAATTAAAGTTACAGAAAGCATTTCATGTAGCTTAAGTTAGCCTTCAACTTCTGTTCCCCCAGCCTCTACCTCCCAAGTGCCAAGATTTCAAGCATGTACTATCATGAGTAGCTTATTTCACATCCTGTGAGAATAGTAGCTACATATACATATATACATATATACATGCATATACATATAACATATATGAAAATGAGAAAGAGCACGTCTCGGGACAGAGTTATATGAAGGGTGGACTTACTTTGGCCTGCTGGGGGATAGCTGTGTAGGCTATGCAGCACTAGATATCTTGGAGGCCCTGGTGGCTCTGGTGAGATCACTGTGCACACAACTCACTTTCTCTTGTGAGTGAACACGGAGCTCCTCCGAGATTTGAGTTCCAGGTATGCTGTTCCAGGCATTACTGTTACTATTAGCCTCAACAGTCTAAAATTATTATTTTTTTTTTCCTTTTTTTTTTTCGAGACAGGGTTTCTCTGTGTAGTCCTGGCCGTCCTGGAACTCACTCTGTAGACCAGGCTAGCCTCGAACTCTCGAACTCAGAAATCCACCTGTCTCTGCCTCCCAAGTGCTGGGATTAAAGGCGTGCGCCACCACCGCCTGGCCTAAAATTATTTTTTAAAAAAGGTCATTTCAGCTAGGTGAAGTAGCACAGGCCTTTAAACCCAGCATTTGGGAGGTAGAGGCAGGTGAATCTCTGTGAGTTCGAGGGCAGCCTCATCTACAGAGTGGGTTCCAAGACAGACAGAGCTGTAAAGACTCTGTCCCATAAAACAAAACATAACAAACAACAAAACAGAAAATGAAAAAGTATTTGGTATGGGCAAGGAGGATTAAAGTGTTATAATGATTTGTGTATGAAAATGTCACAACGAAATCTACTACTTTATAGGTAAAACCCTCCCTTTGCTTAGATAGGGTCTTAGGTAGCCCAGGCTGGCCTGTACTCTGGACATAGCTAAAACTGGCCCTGTGCTCCTAATCTACTTGCCTGCGCCTTTTAAGCACTGGGTTATAGATGACGGGCAGTTTGAGGGTCTTACATAACTCAGCTGACCTCCAATCCTCTATGCAGCCAAGGATGACCTCTGACTCCTGACCTTCCTCCTCTCATCTTTCAAATCCTGGGATTAGAGGAGTGCTACCATGCCTGCTCAACAGAGCTTTGTAGTATTTACAGTGCTCCAAGTTTTGCTCTTTTTTTCTCAAGACTGCCTTTGCTGCTAGAAGTTACATGGGATGCCATACTCACTACAGAACATTTCTCTACTTTTTTTTTTTTTTTTCCGAAACAGGGTTTCTCTATGAAGCCCAGGCTGTCCTGGAACTCACTCTGTAGACCAGGCTGGCCTCGAACTCAGAAATCCACCTGCCTCTGCCTCCCAAGTGCTGGGATTAAAGGCGTGCGCCACCACCGCCCGGCATTTCTCTACTTCTATAAAGACTATCGCTGGCATCTGGATAGGAACTATTCCAAATACACAAACCACTTTAGAGTAGTATCGATATTTTAGTACTAATTTTACCAACACATGATATATCCCCATTTTAGGGGTGGTGCTACTTGGTGTTTGTTTTTTGGGAGAGGGTCTTACCCAGGCTGACCTTCAACAAGAATGCAACCCTGACCCTTGAAGTTGAGGCAATTCTCTGCCTAAGTCTCAGTTGTGTGTCACTCTGTCCAGTTCTTTTACAATGTGTGTGTGTGTGTGTGTGTGTGTGTATGTGTGTGTGTGCACACGAATGCTTGTGGAGGCCAGAGGTTGACATCAGGTGTCTTCCTCTATAGCTCTCTTTATTCTTTGGATTCTCTTACAGAACCTAGAGATTACCAACTGATTAGAATGGCCGGCCAGGGAGCTGGAGGACCCACCTGTCTGCCCCAGAGCACTATGGTATCGAAGTGCTCCGTGAGTTTTCATGCGGGCGCTGGAGTCTCCCTGCTTGTGGGCCAGGCACTGTTCCAACTGAGCCAGCTCCACAGCTCCCTTTCAATTTGTTTGATTAGTCTTATGATTTTCATTAAAGAGATCTTTCACTTTCTTAATTTTGTTTTCACTTTTATAGCTATTAGGAGATTGCTTTCTTGATGTATTTCTTAGCATTTTGTTATTGGTGTATGAAAACCTGATTTTTGATGTTTATGATATTGCAACACTTTACTGAATTTGTTAGTTAGGGTTCTGAGACTGGGTCTTACTATATAGTTCAGGCCAGGCTTGAACTGTTTCTATAGCACAAGCTGGCTTGGAACTCACCACCACTCTGCCTAACTGCTGGGTACAGGCAGACACCACCATACCCAGGCTTTTTCAAACTCACTACTTTCCTGTCATAGGCCTGTGAGTGCTGGGATTTGGCAGGCGACCCCTCACCTACCCACTTCCTAGATCTAACTACTGATGAGTTTTGTGGGTAGCAGGAATGCACATCAGAGAGAAGGGAAACACTGTCTTCACTGTTTCACAGCAGACAGACCTCTGTTCAGGGACACAGAGAACTAGACTGAGGCAGACTGTCTTCTTCTCACCTAATTAGCAGTCTAACACTCAGTGTGATCAGATTTCTTCTAGATTCCTTATAATGACCTTGGTATACTGTAAATAGTCCTGCATTTAAATTTTTCCTGTGTCAAGTTGACCACAAAAGTCCAGATCAGTTACCATATATTTACAGTTAAATGTTAAGAAATAAAGGGCTGGGTATACATTCAGGGATAGAGCACTGGAGAAAAGCAGAAGGCCACCTTCATAGTCAACATTAAGTACTACTCATTCGGTGACAACACGAAGGGGCAGTGAGCTGACTCTGCAGGAAACAGCGCTTCTCAGGAGCCTGAGGACCTGTGAGGCTGAGCCTCTCCTACGGAGCTCACAGGTGGAGGGTGGAATGGAGACATCACTTTGGGTCCAGTCTGTTTGTTTTTTTCCCACTGATTGACTGAGTTTATGCCAAGCATGGCGGCACAGCCCTGCAATCAGCACAGTTAAGAGTGGATGCAGGAAGGTCAAAAGTTCATTATCCTTGGATACACAAAATATTTGGGGTCAGCATGAGCTATAGGAGACTGTCTCAGAAAACAAAACTAAACAAATCCTAAATCCAAAACCCAAACCAAAGAAACTACAACAGCGCTACCTGCTCCGAGCTTATAGACTGGCATGCTATAGTCATAACAAGAACGATTCTCTTGCTTTCAAATTTTCATTTATTTAACTGGTTACATATGTGCATCTGTATAATATGCCTGATCCTCTAGCCTCCAACTCCCACATGCTGGGATGAGAGGTATGCACTATTGTGCCGTGCTTATGTGGTGCCGGTCAGTGAAGGCATCGCTCTGTGTGCATGTTAGACAAATACGCCAGCAGCAGAGTGACATTTTCAGCCCCAAACACACTAGGAAGGTCCCCTAATTGTGAATGCTCACTCTTGTGATGCCAGGTGACATTCTGAGGTTAAGGATGCTAGAATAGCCTCCTCCTTCACCTTGATACCCCAGGGATACAGGCAGGTTTCAAATGCCGTGGAAAGAGATGCCCAAAACATGCTCAAACTCTGGTAAGGCTGTTGAGGCCTTCAGTCTAGCTAAGTGGATGTTACCTAGGGAGTTTGGATCAGGTCAGGGCTGGGAGATGGCTAGGCAGTTAAGACCACTTGTTGTTCTCCCAGAGGACCTGAGTTCAGTTCCCTGCACTTATGTCAGGAGGCTCAACCATCTGTAACTCCAGCTCCAGGGAGGGAACACTCTATTCTCTCATCCTTGGGGACCTGCATTTACGAACCCACAGACATACAGAATTAAAATTGACTTTTTTTCCCCTTTCTTTCTCTGTGTAGCCCTACCAGGTCTGGAACTCAATCTGAAGACCAGGCTGTCTTATAACTCAAAGACCCACCTGCCTCTCTCTCCTGAGTGCTAAGATTAAAAGTGTATACCACCACTGGCTAAAAAATAAATTTCAAAAATCAAATCAAAACAAAAATTCCTTCAAGCCAGAGATTAAAAGCTGGTAGCTCCTGAACAAAATCTGACTTATAGAGAGGGTTTTACTCAGAGTTTAAAATTTCTAAAGTTTAGGCACACATTTAAAAACAAAGGGACTCTGGGTGGGGATGATAGCTCAGTGGCAGTGTTTGCTTAACACACACAAGGCCCTGTATTTCATGCACAGCATCCACACCAAGCTAATAATAACGATAATAAAACCATAAGAAACTCCTACACAAGTTTGGGTTTCTACTGTTTTGTTTTGGAGACAGGGTTTTTCTATGTAGTACTGGTTGTTCTGGAGCTTATTATGAAGACCAGACTAGCCTCACACTCACAGAAATCTAGCTATCTCTGTCTCCTTTGTACTGAGATTAATCATGGGCCACCATGGCTGGCTTCCACAGAACTTTGAAAACTGAAAGGTAGCAACAGCAGTGTAGCCTTGGAGTGTCTCGCCCCCTTCTGCTGCCCATGCCTTCCCTGGACCATATCACTCTATCTCTGCTTGTTCCCCCACATGCTATCAAGACAGGTTCCTACTATGTATTCCAGACTGTCCTTGACCTTGTTTCTCCTGCTTCAACCTCCCAAGTGTTGGGATTACAGTGGACACCACCAAGTCTGGCTTGTCTGTCTGCTCCCTGTGCTTACAAACCCTGCTTTAGAAGATGCAAGAAACAGTACATACGAGGGTAGCCCAGAGAATTCTAGTGCTCAGTCCCTGACCCAACTCTGCATGTGAGCAGGGCCCTCTCACCTGGTGAGTCAGAGACAGCAGGGTCCGCCAGCCGCCCATAGTGCGCCATGAGCTTGAGCTTAGTTTCCTGCTTCCTGTGTCTCTTCCCCATATAGTGTTGTTGAGCCATGGCGGGGTCGTTGAATGTTGAATGGCAGAGGCTGCAGAATTTGTCTGGGTCTAGCATCTCTCTATTCTGCTGCAAGGCTAAGGTGGAGGCCACAAGGAAAGGATTTGTAAGGTGTTTCGACAAAGCTGTGGTAAGAGAGTTCAAACACAAGCAATGAAAAAACAAGACAGAAGGTACCCGGGTTTTGAGTACACTTCAAGGGAAGCAGAGGCAGTGCCAGCCATCACCCTGAGATATGTGGCCCTGCCTCAAAGTCATGCTGTGAAGAGTCACCATCAATGCTCTAACTGGGAATGGTGGCAAGATCTCAGTGAGCTCAATTAACAACTGACTTTTCCACCAGCATTCGGCACATGAGCCCTAATGCTGTCACACTCTGAGAAGGCTCTGAACTTGTGCTAGCCAGGTCCCTGACTATATACTTGCAGTTTCTAGCCCTCAGAATTCCTTGGAATTTCAAAGCAAGTAGATAAGAAGGGTAAATACTTCATTTCCATTCTCAAAATACCTATTATAGACTTGAAGTAGCCATTCAAGCTCTGAGCCCAGACATACAAAGGCAGGCAAGCAGATCAGGAATGCCTCCAATTATTTATTTATTTGTAGTTTTTCTGAGAAAGAATCTCACTATGTAGCTCCCTGGCTGGTCTAAAATCCGGACGCCAGGCTCAAGACAGAAGCAAGTGGGTCTGAAGGCTACCACTGATGCTTTCAGGGTTGGAAACATTCCGACTCTGCTCAGAGGACTCACTCAGTCCAGGGCTGAGAGAGTTGGCTCAGTGGTTAAGAACGCCTACTGTTCTTCTACAGGATCTTCCATTCACAGCACCCTTGTCAGGTGGCTTGCAAAGTGTCTTTAACTCTCCAGTGCAGGGCCATCCAATTGCTCTGGCTTCTGCAGGAAAGTGTGTATACACACAAACATACACACACACACACACACACACATACACACACACACACACACACACACACTCTTTAAAAAATAAAGATGAATCTTTTCTTTAAAACTGGAACCAGCTAGTCAGAGTCTGGTATGGGCACCGTATGTATGAGTGCTGATGTTGAAAGCAGGCCAAATAGCCGCTTTCCAGAGTAGATGCCATGACTAACAAATTTGTGTGGTCAGCTGGAATGGTATTAACCTAACAGCCACTACTGCAGACATGGAGGGCCGATCCCTGCTCCTGGCTGTGGGAGAGAGGGGTTCGGGTCAGCAGAGCTCACAGAGGAGGCTTTCAGGTCCTTTTCCATCTCTTATCGTTTCCATTAACACTGAGGATTTGTGGCAAGCCAGACAACACTCACTAGTCACACTCTCTGGCCATGGGCTTTTGTTTCAGCAAGTCATTCAGAAAGTGAAGTACATAGAGAAGAGTTTAGGAGAATGTTTAGTCTGTAGTATTGAGTTGAAAAAAAATAGATTATAAAACATTTTTTCCCTGTTTTTAGTTTTGTGAGACAGTTTCTTTGTGTAGTTCTGGCTGTCCTGGAACTAGTGCTGTTGACCAGGGTCTTGTTTTGTAGCCCGGGCCAGTCTCAAACTTAGTGTAATCCTCATGCCTCAGCCTCCCAAGTATGTGATTACAGGAGTGAATCATGGCGTCTACCTTGTGATGATGATGATTATTTTGAGACAGCATTTCTATGGATGGCCTAGGCTGGCCTCTAATACAAGATCCTCCTGCTTTAGCCTCGAGAATGCTGGGACTTACAAAAGTCAAGGTCATTCTTTTTAAATTTCTATTACATTCTACTGATTCATTAGGTGTGCACGTGGAGTTCAAAGGACGACCTGCAGGTGGTCTTGTTACATGATTTCAACCATGTGGGTCCAGGAGTATCTCAGGTTGTCAGCAGGCACCTTCACCTGCTGAGCCATGCTGTCAGCTCCCTGCCCCTTCAAATTCTTTACTTATCTATATATTTATTTGAGACAGGGTGTCTCTGTGTAGCTCTGGCTGCCTTGGAACTCACTCTATAGACCAGGCTGGCCTTGAACTCAGAGACCAGGAGTGCTAGGATTAAAGGTGTATGCCACCACTGCCTGGCTTTTTTTTTTTTTTTAATCTTTTAGATTATTTTGAAATTTTTATTCATTTATTTATATGTATGTTTACCTGAATGTATGTCAGTGCCCACAGATGCCAGAAGAAGGCATCAGATCCCTTGGGGTTACACATGGTTATGAGCCACCATGTGGGTGCTGGGAATTAAATCAGAAGCCAGTGTTCTTAACCACTGTGCTGTCTCTTCAGTCCCCGTTTTAAAACATTTTTAACTGGGGGCTGGAGAGATGGCTCAGTGGTTAAGAGCACTGACTGCTCTTCCAGAGGTCCTGAGTTCAATTCCCAGCACCCACATGGTGGCTCACAACCATCTGTAATGGGATCCGAAGCCCTCTTCTGGTGTGTCTGAAGACAGGGACTGTGTACTCACATACATGAAACAAATAAATAAATCTTAAAAAAAAAATTTTCTCCTCTCCCTCCACATGGCTTCTAAGAGTCAGGCTCAGGTCCCCAGGATTGTGTGGCAAGCACTGTGATCCACTGAGCCACCCTGTGGGCCCAAGGTTGTTCTTTAAGACATTCTAGGGGGGGCTGGAGAGATGGCTCAGTGGTTAGGAGCACTGACTGCACTTCCAGAGGTCCTGAGTTCAAATCCCAGCAACCACATGGTGGCTCACAACCATCTGCAATGAGATCTGATGCTGTCTTCTGGTGTGTCTGAAGACAGCTACAGTGTATTCATATATATAATAAATAAATAAATCTTAAAAAAAAAAGTGAAGCTGAAGAAATGGTTCAGTGGTTAAAAGCACTGAGTGTTCTTCCAAAGGACTTGGGTTCAGTTCCCAGCACCCATATGGCAGCTTCACAACCATCTGCAACTTCACTTGGTCCTAGAGACCTGATGCCCTCTGTGGGCACTGCACACACACGGTGACATATGAGCAGACAAAACATCCATATACATAAGTAAATAATACTGTTTAAAGAACATCACCCTGGAGGGAGGAGCATGGTGAGCTCTAACGCCAGAGCAGCTGCTGAACAGATGTCCACGGCCAGCCAGAGCTAGAGCTGTCTCTCAGGAAAGATTGAGAGATAAATATGCAAAGCGTGCTCTCTAGGGATGCCTACTGTATCTTTATTATAACACAAAGAAAAGGGGGGAGGAAACTGTAAAAAAATTCAACACTGGAAGAACCATGTATGACTAGTATGACATTAGTGGCCAGTATGACTGCTAAAAATATCTACAAAAACTCTGTAATAATCTGGGGAAATGTGTTTTCCTTTTGTATCAAAGATTCTCTCTGAACTTATGTGTCTGTGGATACGTGCACATGAGAACAGTGCTCATGGAAGCCAGAGGGGACGGACCACTCTGGAGCTGGAATCGCCAGGAGTTATGAGCTGCCCCACACGGGTGCTGGGAACCAAGCTTGGGACCTCTGCAAGAGTAGAACACACTCCTAACTGCTGAGCCATCTCTCTGGCCCCCAACATGAGGAGATGTTATAGTAAATGAAGAAATATATAAGAAGGTTTAATATATTATAATAATGTGGTCATGTCAGTATCAATAGTTTTTTGTGTAGCCTATATAAATATACTAACATTTAAAAATATCACCTACTCACACACACACATTTCACACATATGTACAAGAATATATGTCTGCATGCCATGTGACATATGGTTGGCCTAGAACTTGCTTGTAACTACGATGCCCTATAAGCAGGAGCTGCTGTTGACAACGCCCTCTCTAGAAGACCTGGGTGGCATACTACCCGCTTCTTTGAATGTTTTGCATGTTGAATTATAATTATTCACATATATGCATCATTTTTACAGAAACAGAAATGATGTATTCTACATTTACAAACACATATATGGAGTCAACCTGCATGAACAGAAAACAAATATGATACACAAACACGCATAGTGCACAAGGCTGTAAGAACACAGGACTCTGGAAGGTTAACAGCACTTAACTTGGAATGGTAAAGTTGTGGCAATTCCTTCTACTTTCTCCGTATTTTCTACAGCATGTTTGTTTCACTTTTATAGCACACAGATGCTTAGTTTCAGACTGGAGTTACAGCAAACCCATGAAGGAATATGGATGTATTTTTAAACTATAGGCTAAATGAAAAGTAATAGAATACACATGGTTGACGTACTGACTAACTCTAAGTTCTCTGTGGCAATGGCTGCAAGTGAATATGGAAGAGAACCTACTGTTTAGAGCAGAAGTATCAGGAGGAGGCATGTCCCACAAAATTTTCCCACTTGTGGGAAGGTAAGTCTGTGGCATTACAAATTCAGCTCCTAAGATAATTTTCCTCGGCCTAATGCTTACATGTCGTGGTGCTACTGTTTACTGGCTCTCACTTTAGACAAAATCAATCAATCCTCATCATAGTCAAGAAATCAACCATAGTCAAGGTCAATGGCATGCTGTACATCAGTGGCTCTCAGCCTGTGGGTCAGGACCCCTTTGGGGTTGAACGACCCTTTCACAAGGTCACCTAAGACCATCAGAAAACACAGATATTTACATTATCATTCCCGACAGTAGCAAAATTACAGTTATGAAGTAGCAACGAAACGAATTTTATGGTTGGGGTCAGCACAACTAGAGGAGCTGTTTAATACACTAACTGTGGTCAGGGCTGCAGCATCAGGAAGGTTGAAAACCACTGCTCAGCAAGGGTGGCTTCCTGATTAGTGACTGCATTTCATGAGAGGATCCCATGCAACTGGCTTTTTAACAGTGACAACAATAATGAAAGCTGTTGTTTAGTGACAATCTGCTGTACCCTAGACATCTTTTGAGGGTGGGAGGTGTTTGCCGCCTATCTTTTTGGGTGCCATACAGGTCAGGCTGGTCTCAAACTGGCAGCCAAAGTGGCCCTGAACTCCTGACTTTCCTGCCTCCACTTTCCAAGTGTTGGGATTGGCAGTGTGTGCCACTATGTCTGGAAGTCATAATTATCTTCAAAAGCTCCAAAGCAGATGGCACTGACACTGACAGGTACAGAGGTTCAGACACAAAAGGTAAAGAAAAGCATCTGACTTAAATCTGTGCTGCTCTGACTCTAAGTCTATAATCTATTGTTTCATAACCAATAACTACATTTGGGTATGCTAAGAGGGTATGACGATGATAGACTTCTCCCTATCTCCAAAACTTTCTAAAACACTGTTGTCTTGTTTCAATGATGAAATAAGACAAAAAGATCAAAAGTTCTATCAATAGTGTGGTCTTGGTCCAAAATAGAGAATAATACACACATGCACACATACACATGCACACTAGTGAAACAGAAATCAAAGGGTTCCTACTCGTGACTAATTGCAGTTAGCCTAGGTTAAAAACCTCAGGATTCAGGACTAACAGGATGAAAGTGATGGCTGTGCCAACAGCGAGAGAATAAAGAAGGCTGAGAGTGAAGTCAGCGCTAGGGAGTGGATTCATGGCAGCTGCACACAGCTTGCTAGTGTCCTGCTTTGAAGGCAAGCCTGCATCTAGAACAGGCAGCTTTTGCAGGTCAAAGTGAGCAGGGCATAACCTGAGTCTATGAAGACGAGGATTTAGCTGTCAACTGGCAACTCGTAACAGTAAGAGCAGGTGGATGGTGGGAGGAAGGAATTGAGAGAGAGGCAAGCGGCAGAATGCTCACAGTATGCAGCAGGCCTCTGGCCTCCTGAGTTATAATTACTGGTCAGGACAGTAATTATAGGCTAAGAACTAAGACAGGGCTAAGAAGCTTCTATATAACATCTGATAGAACCACACAAAGGGAGGTAAAGTGAACCAAGTCTGAGGCCGAATTTCAGCAAGGCAGGGTCTACTATGGCATGTATGTTTTTTAGCCTGGCTCTCAGGTAGCCCAGGTTGCTCAAACTCCACATGGCAGCTGCCTCCATCCTGAGTGCCGGGACTGAAAGCTAGGGAAGTACTCTTTGTGCACATTGGGAAGTACTCCACCAACTGACTGACATCCCCAACTTGTACTTGGATTTTTCAGGGCTCTCAAAAGCCTGAAAAATCTGAGTCCCAGTCTGTATTCTGAGGCTCCAGTGAGCATTCTGGAAGCACCTGGCAATGGTGCCCTGAGGATGGGAGGGGTCCCCAAGCACTACTCAGGAAAAGCAGTACCTGCCCCCTTAGTGGACTGCTGCTTCAGCTTTAAGTTCTTTGCGTGGGTCTTCCCCAGGTAGTGCGACTGGGCCACAACAGGGGAGGAAAAGGTCATGTTACAGACGGGGCAGCAGTGGTTCTTGTCTTTGCTTCTGCTGCTCTTCTGGTTGGGAGAGAGAACACAGGTCTGATCATGCCAGCGCCCATCCAGAAAACCTCTAGTGGTTCCCCACTGCCCATTGGCTGGTGGACACTTAAGACCCCTTCACATGTTAACCGCAACGTAACTGCAACATCCCTTTCCAGTCTTCTCCAGCTAGCTCCTGTCAGGCCCCATGCATCCTGTCCCAGTTTACCCTGTTACTCCCTCAGTTTGCTTGGGTTATTCCTACTGTCTAGAATGTTCCTCCCTATTCCTGCCTGGCATATATTAGGTCTACTATCAGCCATGCAGTGACTTTGACTTTAAAAACCATGACTAAACAATCACCAAGCCCCTGCTGTGCATATCCAGGAAGAGTTAACCTTGGTCCTCACCTGTGTTCCCAGAGTGTATCAGACTTCTACCACAGCCTTTGTCACCCTAAACTGACAGCATTACAGCAGAAGAGCCTTCTGTGTGAGCTTAAGTACAGCGCTGGATATGAACAACTTGACCTATCTTTGCTTCCTACCCTTGTACCCTGCTGGGTCTAGCACACAGTAGATACGCAGGGCTCTTAGAACAAACATGTCAGTGCGTTCCACTTGTTCCTATAGTTATGCTAGAAAGTGTATTTCAATCTTCCTGAGGAAGTCTGTCCTCTGAACAAGGTGTTTCTTTACCATTTCTCAGTCTTCACACTACAGATGGTTTGGGCTTGGTGATTCCTAGCTGGTGGTGGGTGCTGATCTTGCCTGAGCTACTCAGTCATCTAAGAACTGAAGCAGAAAGGTGAAATGATCGTGCCCCTGTGGGTCTAAACCGTAAGGGCAACCAGGAGGTGATTTCTGGAAGGGACACGCAAGGCCCCTTTAAACCACTGGCCACTGTAACACGAGCCAGCAGTCTAGAGTAACTGCTTAGTGACTGACCATTTACTGGGTACTGACGTTTTTACCTCACAACACTAATGAAGCAAGACCCCCTCCATTTTATGAGTGAATTTCCGAGAGGTGAGGTGACTGCTTGAGTCTCCTATCTGTAAGTTAAAGAGCCTTGCCCACCGTCTTCTCATCATGCTGTGCAGAACTCCCACACTCTAAGAGGCACAGCACACTCAGGACCTGGGACTGGTTTCTCTGTAGTTCTTACAGTAATTCTGAGATAAAATAAGTGTATCTTTGCTGTGTCAGAGGAGGCACTTACTTTCCTCCTTTGTTCAGGTAAATGCGGAATGTTTGTTTTTCTCTACAGCCCAAGGACAGCAGTGTCCCTTTACTTTGTCCACTTCAGTGACCCTCTGGGTGGTAAGGGCGAAGCCTAATGAAGATTCCCTTTACTGAATTGTTGCTACATGACAGACTTTGGGTCTGTGCCGTTTTATAAGTCTTTTCTCAACTTAGGAAAAATCCTGAGGCTGGGCAGTGGTGGTGTATGCCTTTAACCCCAGTACTTGGGAGGCAGAGGCAGGCAGATTTCTGAGTTTGAGGCCAGCCTGGTCTACAGAGTGAGTTCCAGGACAGCCAGGGCTACACAGAGAAATCCTGTCTCGGAAAACAAACAAACAAACAACAACACCCCCCCAAAAAAATAAGAGAAAAATCCTGAAAAGTAGCTATACGTTTTTTGTTTCTTTGTTTTTTGTTTTGAGACAGTCTCTTATGTAGCCAAGACTGGCTTTAAACTTGCTATGCAGCCAAAGATAACCTAAAACTACCGATCCTCCTGCCTCCACTTCCAAGTGCTTTGGTTACATGTGTACACCACCATCCTTGGAAGTATGCTTGTTTTTGTAACAGAGGAAGAAATCAAGGCTTAAGAGTTATAAGACTTGCCCAAGTTAGATAACAACACTGGGGTTTGCAGCCAAGTCAGTCTGAATCAAAGCCCATGCTCACACACCAACCTGCTTGGGAAGCAAGCAGTCTCAATAAGGCAGTTGTGTTACCTGATCTGAGTCTAGCCTCTTCACGTCCCCTTTTAGTGTCTCCATTCCATGAATTGCTAGGTATCTCTTCACTTTGTTGGCATGTTTTTTGCTCTGCAAAAACCCGACAAAAAGATCGAAGATAGCCAAATGTCATTTCATAGAGAAGACCATCAGGCCATACCAGAGTCTCACCTGATTCATCCTCAGAAAAACCTCTGAGGAAGAGAAAATGGGAGAAGAAACTTCATTTACTGAGTTCCGACCATGTGCTAGGCCCTTTACATGCTATTAAATTTAGCCTCCAACAATCTATGAAAATACATGAAGAAGCTAAGGCCAAGCATGGTGAAATTTCTTGCCTAAAATGAGTAACAGAGTTGGCTTCAAATTAAGGTCTATGTAAAGCCAAAGCTCCTACTTCCTACTGTGTCAAGTTATACAGAAGGCTCTCTATATAGTGATCCTGATTGGGATGAGAGAGATGAGAGTCACAGAAATTACGTCAACTGCAAGTCCCTAGCAAACATGCATGATGGAAACATCTTGTAACTGTGCAAGAATGAGCTTTTTGTGCAAGGCAGAAGCGAGGGCTTGGCACTAGACCTGGAAGGTAAACGCATGAATATAGCAGAAATGGCCTACCTGGTAATGTGCTAGCTTCTGAGACTCAGAAATCAGCATGGCGCAGCAAACTTTACACTGGGTGCTAGTGAAGAGACACTGGTTCTTCTGGATCATGTGTTCCACTAGAGAGGGAAAAGAAATCATGCAAGTTGACAGATGTGATCTCAACAGCACTGTCTCTGATCTGTCTCAAACATAGGCGCCAAGTAATGGAATCCATACTAACACATATGCAGACCTGCCCTTCAGTTCCACTGTGCCATGACTCATGCTATGCTTACAAACCTCCTGCATTATTATTTGATATAGGTCTATGTTCTTTACCTAGTCAGATTGTTATGTGAGATGAGGTTGTCCTATGCTGCCCATGAATTCCAGGCTCAAGCGATCCTTCTGCCTTGGTAGCTATGACGATAGCCCCATAACATCATGCACTGTAATTTTTTAGAAAAAAGTCTATCTGGGGTCTCATGAAGTAGTGTTAAAGCAGGATGCAGAGATGTACACCTTAAATAACAACACTCAAGTGGCAGAGGCAGGGGAATCTGAGTTCAAGGCCAGCCTAGTCTACACAATTAAGTTCCAGGCTGGACAGAGCTATATAGTGAGTTCCTGTCTGAAATAACAATGACACCAACAATCGTTTTAATGTAGACTTAAGCACTAGAGGAGAGATAGGTATTCAGGAAAAGGACAGTACACACCTAAGACATGAGTTTGGTTATGAGACAGTTGAACACTTGAGTTAAAAATTACTTTATTCATGTGTGAAGGGAAAATTTCAGTTTCTTTGGAGACTCAGCTGTGTCATGTGGTGTTTTCCTGGAAGCTGCCTGATGAGAGGATGTTTTGCTGAGGCAGACACTTGAGAGGATGCATGATATTTGCAAAGAGTATAACCCAGCAGACAGGGAACAACGGTCTTGCATTGATTTGCATCGCAATGGTTTGCTGGTCTTCACTGATCTTCGCTTGTAGTGACTTTGTAGAGAGAAATGTAACAAAAAACTTCTTGTGGTATTCTGGCTGCTTCCTGTCACTTCTGAGGACTCCTGTAGTTTCTAATGGATGGAGCCAGTGCTACTGACCATCAAGTCAAGACGGTTTGTGTTTAGTGTTTGCTATTGGACTGGACTGCTCCTGCTCAGTCATGTTCATGGTTTGGACTGGATTGTTGATATCCTGATAATGAAGACTGGAATCATCCCAAAAAACTATTTGGTCTATACATCCCCACTGTCCTATTAACCATCTTCCTTCCATACCTTTGGTCAGTGGGCTAGAAGGGAGGATGAAGCATTTAAGAACCTTCATTAAAGTAGGTTTTGAAAAATCTAAACCTTCACATGTGTATGAATGTTTTGCTTGCATGCATGTCTGTGCACCAGGGAGGCCAAGAGGGTATTGGACCCCAGGGAAATGAGGTTACAGTTGTGAACTGCCAAGTGAGAGGGTTCGGGAAATGGAACCGGGGTACTTTGCAAGAGAAACCAATTTTCCAGCCTATTATGTAGTCCTGGAACTTGCTATGTAGATCAGGCTGGCACTGAACTCCCACAGATCTGCCTGCTTGTGCCTGAGTGTGGGATTAAAGGTATGCCGCACCGTGCTATAGCATGCTAATGGCTACAGCAACCAGTCCAAGTAACTGCAGAGTGTGACACCAGCAATCCAATTCCTTGCCTTTGAACGGTAACTTTCAGCTCAGTGTATACGGCTCTCCACAGAGGAAGACACAAACATCAGTCTGCATTGCTGAGAGCCAGTAGAGCCGAGGAAAAGCTCCTGCTATAGGAAACCTCACTGCTCTGTAGAGTCCTAGCCAAACAGGAAGAGTGTAGGAAGCTGACCAAACCAAGAACCATATCCAGCTGTGAGGCTTTCAGTTTTAGGTATATTTGAATAACTTCATCTTTTCTCTTTTTTCATCAGATGTGACCAAGTCAAGATGGTTAGACCAGCTGACACCCCCACCTCCCAACACTTAGGGCTGTGTGAAATGTCAGGTGAGCTTTCTACCATTCTGCCTAGCTCCGAAACAACATTTTACTCATCTCTACTGTTCTCTGCTCACAAAGTGGACCACGTGCCCCTTAATGCTGAGGGGACAATTTAGTGGTCTCCTTCTTCTGGGACAGACAGACAGACATACACATGGTTGGGGGTGGGGAGAAAAGAGTGACAGTCAGGGAGTGGGGAGATGGAGGAAGGGAGAGAAAGAGACACACATACAGACAGACAGACCACGGGGGAAGGAATGGGAAAAAGAGTTTTGGCCACTAGTTTAGCAGCTTGAAACAACTCACTACTTTGTGCAGCTGCAGTGTCATCTCTGTGCTTTGGATTAATCAGTGCTAAGATATCTTGCATGGCTAATATATAAAACTATGCTGATCTTCCAAAGCTTCTCTCGATTGCCACTGATAGGGAACGTTTCTGAGCCTGTGACTGGACATTCTAACTTGTATTTTTCTCTCTTCTGGTCTCTTTGGGGCCAGTTAGGAGAAATAGAACCTCATAGTGCACCTCTTTTCTTTCCTTTTCTTTTCTTTTCTTTTTTTGAGACAGGGTTTCTCTGTGTAGCCCTGGCTGTCCTGGAACTCACTCTGTAGAACAGGCTAGCCTCGGACTCTCGAACTCAGAAATCCGCCTGCCTCTGCCTCCCAAGTGCTGGGGATTTTTTACATTTTTAATTGTGTGAATGTTTGTATGTTTGTTTGTGACAATGTTTATATTAAGCACAGTTTCCCTCAATGGTTGAGAGCCACATGATGTGGTTGTTGGTAACCAAATTCGGGTCCCTCTGGAAGATCAAGACAGATTCTTACCTACTGAGCCACCTGTTCAGCTCCAAGTGCAACTATTTTGATACAAAATATCAACAAGAGTTGTTTGAAACAATTAAATAAACTTAAAAAAAAAGCAACTAAATTAGCATGTTGAGATACCTGCATGACCACGTGTACAGTGGCTCAATCGGCCACAGCTAAGCTGTGGAGTCAGCCAGACGGATGAGTACAGAAAGGAGACAGATCATTTGACTCAGGAAACAAAGGCACCTATTGCCAACCAAGGCTCCTGAGGTTGATTCCTGGAGACCACCTGACAGAGGAGAGCATGCTTCTGCAACTGTGTCCAACTGCTCCATCAGCTGTGCCAGGTCCACATCAGTGTGCACTCACAAATGAACAAAATAAAAAGAATATAGATGACCCAATAGAATACTATACAGCCATAAAGGACAGTGGAACATGCCATTTGCAACAAAATGAATAGAACTGCAGGGTATCATTTTAAGTGAGGACAGGCACAGAAAACAAGCACCGCATGCTCTTTCATATACTAGAAACTAATTCTGCTTCAGAAGGCACTGTTTATAAAACAAACACAAGAGCCAGTGAGATGGCTCGGGGGTTGGGGTGCCTGCTGCCAAGGCTGATCTGAATTGCTGAGTTCAATGCTTGAGATCCACACAGTAGAAGGAAAGAACTGATTACTGCAAGTTGTCTCTAACCTCTATATGAGTGCTGACACCCATATGCCCACACACATTTACGTGAATGTAATAAGAAATAAAGAAGATAGTCAGATATGGTGGCACATGACTTTAATCACAGCATTCTGTGAGTTTGAGGCCAGAGCCTGGTCTATACAGAGTTCCAAGTCAGTCAATGCAACATCCTCTGGACCCACATTGGGAAAGGAGAAAACCAACTCCTGCAAGTTGTTCTCTGACCTCCATACACACACTATGGTACATGTGTGAATGTGTGGACCACATACTCTCTAAATACACGCAAGAAAAAAAGTCATTAAGTTGGGGCTGCAGAGATGACTAGCCGGTAAGAGCATGTGCTGCTTGCTCTTCTAGAGGACCTGACTTTGGTTCATAGCTCCCATGTTGGTTCATAACTGCCTATACTCCAGTTCCAAGGGATCCAGCACATCTGTCTGTACTCTGACATGGGCACACCTCATTGTAATGTAAATGCTGGAGGTATCTAAGTGTGACTGGAGAACTTTCAAAAGGGACATGACCCAGGCATGAATTATCATGCTGATCCGTTTGTAAGCAGCTGCTGAGTGCTCTGCTTTAAGGTCCAGGGCACACTGCCCATCTCCAAGGCCACTTCCCTTTGCTGCATTTCCAGTTCTGAGGCATCTCTCTTCCCTTCTCCCCTTACATTATACGATAACTGTGAAGGGGAAACTTGAGGGTTCTTTGGAGAGTCAGTTGTGTTGGATGGTGTTTTGCTGGAGCAGACACAGGAAGGAGTGTTTTCCTGAAGCAGACACAGATGAAAGGCTAAGGCAGACTCATGAAGGAATGTTTTGCTGAAGCAGACACAGGAGAGAGATGTTCTGCTAAGGCAAGCATGTGAAAGGGCATGTGGTAACAGACTCTTTGCTAACGACTCACATGTAGTGGTCCACCATATATTAGTTGAGCTTCATTTGTCTGGACTCCTTGGACTTGGGCTGATTGGATACACGTGCTGAGGCAAGACTTGTGGAGCACTCATGATGTTGGGAAGGTATAAATAGGACTCCATGGCGTGATGGAGACAGAGCTTGGCTTGCTGGTACAGCTAGCTGCAATGCTTGTAGGTCTCTTGTCTTCACTGATCTTAGCTTCCCTGAGAGAGGCATAGCTGAGAACTTCTGGTGTTCCTGCTGTCCCTCCTGCTGAGGCTGAGGCCTGGCTGTATCTTCTAGGTCATGTCACCACTGTTGCTAATCTGAATCTACTGAACAGGACAGCTGATGTATCCATGAGGTGTTTTCGAGTGGATCAAGCTGCTGCCGCCTGCTAACCTGTGAACTGAACTGCTGATTTCCAGACAACACAGATGGAAGTTGCTCCAAAAAAAATTTCTAAACAGGTCCACTTCCCCCATATCCTTTCTTTTCCACTACCTCTGGTGAGAGGTGGGCTACAAGGGAGTTTAGTTAAAGCATTTAAGAACTATCATTAAAAATAAGATTTAATGGGCTGGAGAGATGGCTCAGTGGTTAAAAGCACTGACTGTACTTCCAAAGGTCCTGAGTTCAAATCCCAGCAACCACATGATGGCTCACAACCATCTGTAATGAGATCTGATGCCCTCTTCTGGTGTGTCTGAAGACAGCTACAGTGTATTCATATATAATAAATAAATAAATCTTAAAAAAAAAAAAAGATTTAAAAAAACTAAAATCATACAACTGTTTTGGTGTTTGCTTCCCTGGACTGACTGCAAGCTACTCCAGAGTAAGAACAGTATCTTCTTCATCCCTAAGGCTTGGAGGTCCAGCTGCTCCTGGAAATGTCAAATTAACCAAAGGAAATCTGGGTCAAGGAGACAACTTTGTACTAAAATGTTTTTGAGACAAGAGTCTTGTATAGCCCATGCTACTCTCAATTTTTTTTTCCTTCCCTGAGACAGGGTTTCTCTGTGTAGCCCTGGCTATCCTGGAACTGGCTCTGTAGACCAGGCTGTCCTTGAACTAAGAGACTCACCAGACTCTGCTTCCCAAGTACTGGGATTAAAGGCTTGTGCCACCACTGCCTGGTTTAAATTTGATATATAGCTGAAGCTGGCTTGACTTCCTGATCCTGTCTCCACCGCCTGAGTGCTGACAATGACAGGTATGTGCTACCACATCTGGCTCAAAAAAAAAAAAAAAGTTTTAAGAACACAAAAGAAGTAGAGACTCAGAAATGGCATATACATTTATTTAGGAGCCAGACTTTACAGTATTAGATTGAAGATGCATACACTTAAATTCAAAGCATCTTGGGGTCGGAGAGATGGCTCAGTGGTTAAGAGCATTTACTGCTTTTGTAGAGAACCAGGGTTCAGTTCCCAACATCCACATGGTAGCTTATAATGTAAGTCTAGTTTCAGGGGATGTGATATCTTCTTCTGATATCCTTGGGTACCTGTCATTCATACACACATACATGCAAGCAAAACATTCATCACATAAAATAAAAACACATTTCTTTAAAAAAAATTAAACATATCTCTTTGAATATGCTAAAAAATTCCAATTTTATCCAGGGCAAGCAGTTTACAAACACAGTAAACTTCCCAAGATTAGTCTGCACAGCAAGCAATATAATCAGTACAGAAATCCTGTTTCTCTGCAGAGACCTGATAGGTTAGCACAGAAACCCAGATACAGTTCTCGTACATTTGGGTTAGTATTAAGTAGCTAGTTCCGGAAGGGACTCTGGAAAGAGAAAGAGGCCAGCTCCCCTTGCACTCCTCTAGCTCCCTTGTTACCCACCCAGTTTTGGTCAAACAGAGCGATCTGGTAAGTTTCTGCCGAGAAGTGCACTCTGAGAGAGTACACTGCTCTCCACAACTCTGAATCGAGTGTGAGATGAAGCAGTTAGAGGCAAGATGAATACCTAGGCAAGTTTCCCCGGCTCCTGGGCCTCCTCTGTGGAATAAGCTGTTGGCAACAGACACAGAAATACGGCACTGAAGGACATAGTGGTACAAGCCAGGAATGCCAACATTAAGGAGGCGGAGGCAGGGGGACCCACGCAAGTTCAAGGCCAGCCAAGTCTACCAAGGAAGAAACATGGCAAGCCAGGTCACAGTCATCAAGCCCAGGAGGAAGCTGGGATTCAGGAAGACCTTCCAAAGCTCACACTGGTCCTCTCACTCGGAAGGCTGAGGGCCACCACGAGCTGAGCAGTGAGAGGCGTCGGAAAGTAAATAAACAATGATAAAGTAAATTAAATAAAGCTATTCGGATCTGTCAGAACCGTAGGGCTTTGAGAAGGAAGAGAAGCAACGTCGAGTTGTGGAATTAAGGACCGACAGGAATGGAAGCTGGCTCGGCTACGAGCCAGGCTGGGAAAGTCCTGTCGCTCTCCAAGAGGACAAGACCTAGAATTTGGGGGAAACTGTTCTCAAGTGAACGCCCCGAAAGGAGGACGGAAAAATTCCGCAGGGTAGCGAGTTACGAGGTCCTGCACCCTTCGCGAGCTCGGAGCTCCGGATCGTGGTGCAGAGGCTGGCCGGCGCCAGGGGAGTGACAGGAGGCAGGCCATCCCACCTCGGTCCAGCCGCGAACCCCGGAGCCCCCGACTCACCTTCCTCCCTCCCCGCCGGCTGCGCACCGGACACAGCTTCCCACAGGAGGCGCGCCCTCTCGCGGTCGAAGCGCACTCCGTCCGGTTCCCGACCTTCCGGCTCCTCGGAGCTCCTGAACGGTCCGGCTCCTCCGGGGTCCGCAGCCTCCGTGGCATCGTGCGGAAGACACTCCATCTTTTCGGCAAGCCGCGCCGTTGAAGAGCTGCGCATGCGGCCCGCTACCACTAGCAGTGGGTGGGCGGGGATTTGACCCGGCCAGCAACTCTCGCGAAGTTTGGGCTCTGCAGATCCCGCTGGGGCGGGGCCCCGAGAGGGCGGGGCCCCGAGGGGCGGAGCCCTGAGGCTCATTCTGTTTTGGTGCCTCTGGCACCTTAGGAAGAGTCTAGTGAGTTGGAAAAACGGTACACATTGGTCACTAAGTCCAGGCCCCTTCCTTCCGGACAGTTCTTAGCTCAGGGCTGTCATCTTTGCTCCCTGTGAGCCACTTACGGACACTTCTCATTTCCTTTTGTTATATGTGGGAACATTTCTCTCATTTCTTTGGTAGAGAACTTAAGGCCCAGATTCTAGGAATGTTTTACTTAGGAGTTTGTTAAAGCAGACATAATGGTACAAGCTCTTCATCCCAATACATGGGAAGTGGAAGCTATACGATTAGGAGCTCGAGGCCAGCCTGGGCTCCCTGAGACCCTGTCTAATAAGCAAAAAACGCTCATTAGTAGCTCATACTTGCAATTCCAAGATTTACGAGACTAAGGTTAGAGAAGTGCACGTTCGAGAAAAGAAACTTTGTTTGGAAAAAAGATAATTAAGGCTGTGGTCAAAGTACTCTGGAGACCTTAAGATGACCAGGAGTTCAAGACTAACCTCTGTTCCAATAATAGATCATCTCTCAACGAAACAGACAAAAATCCCACAAAACAAACAAAAACCCAAATAATAAAAAGGTAGGATGTAGTGCATGTCTGTAATTACATCGCTCTGGAGGCTGAGGCAGGAGGATTGTCATGATGTATTTGAGGCCAGTGTGGGAGACATCTTCATCTTAATATTAGCCATTATGGGGTCTGGATGAGGGAGTTAGGCCCTCTCCTTGGTCTGCAGTGTCTGGTAAGTTCTTGGGCTTGTTCTCAATGCATTCCCAATAAATTTATGAGGTATTGTCCTTTCTGTTCTCAGGAATAAGTCATTTATCAGTCTGTGCTGATGAGTAGTGCCAAGAAGCTAAGAGTTTGGGTCCACCGAGGAATACACTTAACTTCTACCTCAAAATGGAGTCAAAAGCTGCTTGTAAAATGAAATCCCCGTCCATTTTACATTGTAGAAAACAAAACACTGTCTCACATGATAATGGAGTAAAATGGGACACAGACTGGTCTTATATTGCTGTAATATTGGTTCTATTATTATTATTAGGTTCTATTATTATTATTGAGAGAGGATCTTTGTACCCCAGGCTGTCCTGGGATTTACTATGTAGACCAAACTGGCCTTGAACTCATAAAGATCCACCTGCTTCTGCCTCCCAAGTGCTGAGACTAAGACTAAAGGTGTGTACTTCCATGCCTGGCTTTAGGTGTCACTTTGAGGCACTGTAAAAAGGCAGAAAATTGAGGTGACATTGGAGCGACCCAGGGATCTAGTTTGCTTTTCCTGCTGACTGAGAGTTGGGTAATTTCAAAATTAGTCAAAGACGGCAAAGTTGCTCTAGAGATAGTGCTTGTCTTCTTAAAGACATCTCAGAGGAAGAAACAAGAAACAATAGATTGAGTTGGTGGGACAGGCCAGTCACCCCATAGCTTGGGACATAGAGTTGAAAGGTCAGGAATTCAAGGCCAACCTGAGATACACAAACCGACTCATAAAATCAGAAAAGGGCTCCATGGCTCAGGCTGTAAAGGTGCTTGCCACCAGGCCTGACATCCAGTGTTTGATCCTTGGGACTCTCGAATGGTATAAGTGTCACGAGCAGTTGGGGTTGCACGGGCAGGGGCAAGGCCTCTTACCCACAGAACTGAGGCGCCATGACTAAAAATGACGTACAGAAAGCAGCATTGGTTCTGGCTTACAGTTCCTGAGAGAGCATTCATAGTGGGAAGGAGGCATGGCAGCAGGTGGCCAGCCAGATTGGAGATCACTCAGATGTCACAACCACTGGCAGAAGCGGTGTGGGAACTGGGGTGGGGCGCGGCTATAAACTCTCAAAGCCCACCCTGAGTGCTGTACTTCCTGCAGCAAGGCTCCACCCATTAAAGCCTCCACTACCTCTCCCAACAGCAAAACCAGCTAGGGACCAAGTGGGAGCCAGTGGGAGCATTTCTCACTCAACCAGTAAGTAAGGGCTCACACTGCTTTGCAAAAGAAACAAGATAACTTTATTTGGAGCCAAGCAATAATACATTTTATAGAGGGATACATGGTTACAATTGGCAGCAGGTCACATGAGTGAGGGCACTGAAGGAGCCAGGATGCACTCTGGGTCTGTCTTTATTGGGCCTTGAGGACCATGGGGGCTGATTACTAAGGGCTGTAGTTGGTGGTTGTCTACTGTGATTGGTAGATTAGGCCCTACATTGACTTTTCCTAGTGCACACGTTTCTTCGCATAAGGTATCTGAATCTAATTTGCACACACAACTACGCATAGGTCAATGGGGGATTCTCTCGGAATTTTCTCTAGATATTTCGCTTTGCCTCACATCATCCAAAATCCGGCTCAGACCAGATCGGCCCTTCTGTTCTTCATATCTGAATACATTGGGCACACACTTAAATCGAAACTGTTCAGAGATAGGAGTGTGCGCAGCCTGAGGCTGGCTGGGGTTGAGGTTTTGAGATTGCAGGGTGTATTGGAGAGGAACGAGTGGCAAGTACATACAGATAAAGGGGTGGGGTTGCCAAGTGGAATGCACCCCCGCTTAGCTTACTACTTGTTGGGTAGCTCAGGCCAGAGTCAAAGTTGTGGCAGTGCCCCGTCTCAGCTTCCTGAGTGCTTGGATTGTAGGCATGTTAGTCCTGGTCTTGACACCTAGCTGAAGTCCTGTTTATACCACTTCCTGTTTGCATCGTCCTCCCATTGCTGTGTCTTTACGATGACCTGTATCCATCTATCAGCCAGTCCATTAACCTATGCTTTTAATAATACTGTTTTCCACAAGCTATGAATAACTTGTACAGTTACATACACTGCTTTTTTTTGTAAGTTTATGAAAATCGTTTAAGAGTGTTCACATTTGTTGGCTTGCTATTATTTCAGTGAAATTACCACCACCACCACCGCCACCACCCCACTCCCCCTTTTTTGGGAGGGGAGAAACCCACCTGCCAATGCCTTCTGAGTTCTGGGATTAAAAGCCTGGCTTCAGTAAGTTTTTTTTTTTTTTTGGATCTATCAAATGTTGAGTTTTATTTGTTGAATTTTATTGTAGGAATATTTCATATTTTATTCATCTTTGTCATACTAGATATTTCTGTTGCCTTTTTTTTTTCCTCAAGGAAATGGGCTTCCTGGAACATATATTTCAAGGAAATGGCCTGAAACTTGTAGAAGTCTCAGTAATATTTTTTATTTTTATTTATTTTTTACTTTTTATTGGTTCTTTGTGGATTTCACATCATGTACCCCAGTCCCACTCCTCACCCCCTCCTCTCGTACCCGCCCTTCACTCTTGTAAACTCTCCCCAACAGAGAGCGAGATTCAGTATTTTTAAGCTGTGTTTTAGGATGCTTGAATTCCACAGAGACGATCGATCAGACATGAATTAACGTTATACCATCCGAGAGTTTCTAAGTAGTCATGTGACCATTTAATTTGAACGTAATTTTGGATTCAGGCAAATAAAGCACTAGAGGAAGCTTGCTGTAGCAGAGCAGATTTCGAAGGGTATCTGGGGACTATATTGGCTTTCCTTGGTTTCCCTCAAACCAACCTCTAGCAGGGACCCAGGGACTCCGCGATGTTACAACGGCCCACACCGCTCCGCGCCTGCGCGCCTCGCCCCGCCTCGCCCCGCCCCTCGCCCGCCCCGCCCCTCGCCCCGCCCCCGCCGTCTCGCGCCCTGGCGCGCGTTCTCCACTTTCCGAAGAGTTGCGGCCGCTCGCGACCCCCAGCGTTTGGGAGGCGCTGGGTGGCGCGGCCAGCTTCGCGGTGAGTACGCGTCGCCTCGGCACTCCGCAGCCGTCCGGGGCCGCCTGCTTCCCGCTGTCCGCCCGGCGGCGGCCGCTCCGTCTGAGGCGCGCCTCGCAGCGAGTAGGCCTCTCGGCTGGGCGGGAGCCGACGCCGGGTCGCTCTCACTCCCGGGCGGCCCTGGCTCTCGCGCCCCCCGGCGCCCCCCTCCCTCTGAGGGCAGCCATCGTCCTCCGGGGCGCCCTCTCTTGCTCTCCGAGCTTCCTGGTAGCTTCGTCGCCCGCCCGGCTAACGGACTCTCCGGGGACCGCCGCTAGGCCTGCTGCCTCCCCCACGTTACTTTGCTTGTCTAGTGGTAGTTGGTTTCACTAGTACTTCGCCCGCCAGAGACACCGCTCCCACCCGGGTCTTTCTATGGAGCCCCGTCTGGCTTTCAACTCATAGGGTACCCAAGATGGCTTCTAACTCGCTATCCTCCTGCCTCAGTCTCCCGAGAAAGATTTCCCCTGGAAATCTGTATCGTTTACCTCTTAAAGTCTCCAGTCGAGCCTGGTGCGTTTCTCTCGTGGCTGATGACAGACTGTGTGTCAGAAACCTGTGAGACCAGAGCGTTGGTCTCCTCAGAGATGGAGCTGGGTGTGAATCCGGACCACTTCACTCCAGTCTTCTTGCATCTAGTCGTTGTGTCACATACCGGCAACGCTGCGGAAAAAGTGAGCCCCAGTGTTTAGGGTTTTGTTTGGTTATGAGAGACAGTGCTTTGTAGTTGAGTCAAAGAAAGTCTGCTTGTGGAGTCAGATGCCTCGAGTGTCATTTCCCAGCATAGCCACTTGCCAACTACTCTTTTTTACTAATTTTCCTAATGTGTTAGGGCACCTTAGGGTTCTGGAGAGGAATAACCTCAGTATCGGGTGTGAGAAACCTAGAAGTTTGTCTATTGAGTCTCTCAGTGATTACTTATTGCACGGGGTGTGTTTGAAATCTTTTATTTTTGCACACATGTGGGCACACGTAGGTATGAACACACACACAGACACTCTTCCACCACCACACCGA